TCTCCCAAAAAGTGAGACTATAGCCCTCACCATACAGTTTGTCATGGGGGATTTATTTGAATTAACAGTCTTGGACTCATACAGACACAGTCCCTCCGAGCAACTGCCTTAACCATCTCTTTCCGACACGTGCATGGGCGCAGGTTTCGTTTCAACATCTGGGGACACACATATGAAACAGGATTTGGGGGTCATCTGCTGGAAAATATCAGGCAAAATTGTGGGAGGAGTGGACAGATTCCAAGGTCTGGACCTTGGCAATTAATGTCCTGCATTCTGGTGAATTTCTATGCACCAATTTGTGCCCTTTCTGTATTAATTTCTGCTGTAAATGTCTTATTTTGACAAAATAAACCCCCTCTGCTACCTTTATGTTCTTACTGAGGGGGGCATGTCTCCTGCATCCCCCTGAAATCTACACCTTTGAAGACATGAGTGTGTACATTGCTGTGATGTAAAACAGGTCCTGGATGTGTGGATGGCCTTCAGGTCAGGTGAGCTTAATTTCTGGACGGGCTCAGAATGAGAAACGCTCTTTAGACGGTCACGTGGATTTTAAGTCGGCGAGGTAATAGGCTGTTCTTTGACTGATCTATGGGATCTGGCTTTGACGTTTGAAATGCAAAATAAGTTCCCTTTGAACACTTGGATATGGACTAATTTAGACGAGTCATTCCATGCGAAAATATCCCATATGATGCGATCCAGGAGGTCTGGATACAAGAGGCTGTTGCAACATTATATAATACCATAATGATGCCATAGGAAACACAGTGCATTGAATTCAGAGTGATAAGGTCACACAACAAATCACATTCATCCTATCAAGAATAAATGTTATGTTTTCGTTAAGGCACAGCACGGATAACTTCGCTTGTTTATATAAATATCCCATCTTATTATATAAAGGGCAGACGGTGCTACCTTAAGCAGGCACCTGCAGTCTGCTTGCCCTTGCATCACCAACCGGTGCCAAAAACCGAGCGAGACTGGAGGATAAACACCGGTACAGCAAGTCACCCCACATGCATGCCGCAGTCCCGGACAACACCGATCCCCGTTATTATGCCAAGCACATCTCAAAGAGGCCTACGCACGATTATATACAGGCCGCTATACCCTCTATAATGACAAGCCTGTCATCGACACAGATATTAACACGGTTTGACAGTGACAGATCACGATTTAAGCGGGCGGAACCTTGACAGAGCAGATATTGAGCAAGGTGTTTGTTGTTGTTTTATAGCTTACCTCCCTCACTGTGTATCTTCTTGGCTCTCCGGTTGAAATACATCTTGCTGGTGGTGAAGGACTGTCAGAGAGGCTGGGGCGGGGAGGCCGCAGCGGTGGCATGCTCATGGCTCACCGACAGAGCAGGGGAAGGCTGCTCCAGGCCCGGGCTGCGGCCGCCGCTGCTGCTGCTGCTCAGGGACCATTATTTCTCGGCAGGACCGCGGAGGTAATGTTGTGGAGGGTAGCTTCAGCCAGCGTCGAGTCAGGCGCAGTGAAGTAAGTGCTACTTCCGGTCACTGCTTTCAAAATAAAGTACGTTACAGTAAAGGCTCAAGGGGAATGCGCTCCATCTTCAGTGTAATAAATAACAACGTTATTTTTACCTGTCAGCATGTACAGTTCAATCATGTGACAATACAATTGTGGATAGGTGTAGCCACATTTGCAAGATCAATGTTACAAGCTATTTTAAACAAATATTATCTAGAAAATACTTCACATTTTTTTTAACATTTAATACTCTAACACAACATTTACAGCCTATAAAAATTGGACAGACCTGAGGAAACTGGCAGATAAGGGTGTCACAGTTTACTATAGATCTGAAGACATACACAAGCATCTAAATTTCCTTTGTATCACTAATAATAATAGTACCTTCCTATTTTGTTTGTTTTTATCACGTCTCGCTTGCTATATATGTGTAATACTTTGTCTCATATGATATTTTTTGTTTGTCATGTATGATGCATCTTAAAGCACACTGAGTTTACACTTGTATGAAATGGGCTCTATCAATAAAGTTGACTTGACTTTGTGGTTTTTACAAATGGGCTTTTTTCATCAAATAGCCTACATTGCTCTTTTTGGGACACAATAATATCTTTATTTTTTATTTACTTGAAGCCAAAGAAAGTTTTAAAAGACCACATATTAAGAAATATACCGTTATGACCATCATATATCTCTATATTTTACGATATCATGGAAGTAATACAACATTATACTTTTACTTCTTCTGATGTGTACCATTTGAGACACTGCTGTTTTATTCTTAGTCACATTACACTTCAGCAGAAATAATTAACTGATTATCAATTAGTAACATAATGCAAAATAATCTGAAATTATTTTAGTCAATTCTTGAAATCATTTGTCTTTTTTTTTTTTTTACTATTGTAAATTAAATATATTTTCAGTTTCAACGATTTGTAGAACAAAACAATAAAACAACCTGGGGTTTAGTAAACGTTAAAACGCATTTGTCAGTATCTGATTTTATTAACCAAATGATACATTGACAAATGAGAAAATAAGTGGCATATTATTTGACATGAACATAATTGTTAGTTTCAGCTCCCATTTATAGTGACTTCAACAATTTTACTTACATGCTTCTGAGAAGTTATCCGTGAACCTTTATTTTGAAGGACAACTATCAAACTTCCGGTCCTGTCCTGTGTGGCTTGATCACATGGGTGTCCATTCAGTTGAGCCACGGAGGCGCGCATCGCATGATGTGATGCGTACGTGCGCGCAGTGTCCTCTGGGCGCAAAGTATGAGATTGAATATAATGGGCATTTTTTAATGCTATTGTATCAATTTATCAAAAAAATTAACACTCAAAAAAAGATGAAAGGTTTTCGTATTGCAGTTTTTATGACATATGATAATCTGCTTCAGAGATGACTGAAATGTATCTGTAACAGAAAGTATGTTTTATTATACACCTGCTTATCATTTAAAGGGGTTATCAGTAAATGGTAAAATGTAGTTTAACAGTTGCATTAGTAGAGAAGAGTCATTAGTCATCAAGCTGCCTTTATAATACAAAGTTATACATCAACATCAAATTATCAAAGTCAAAGGTGTTGTAGTTGGGGGTCTGATTACCCAGGACTCCAATGGGAGGGGGGCCCTAGAAAAGTTTGGTTTTGTCTGCATTTTTTTTTTTCTAAGTAATTAGTGCCATAACTAAATTAAAGTTGGCAGAATAAATCAGTTGGACCACTGAACGTTGTTTTAAACAATGGTGAATGCCCTTTAGTCCTCTCACCCCTTAAAGGCGGAGAATGGTTTAGTCCACCCCTGCACTAGGATTAATCTCTAAATGCAGCCAGAGCCAAATGAGTGACTGTATATCCTGCTGCAGCACCAAAGTACACTGTCATGTCTTTCCCAAGAAAGGACAAGTGAGGTTCCAAAAAAAAGAAAAGAAAGGACAGGGAAAAGAGCAAACTGACCTCGGAACAAAAAAACAGGTGCACGAGAAACATGGATCAAGAGAGAAAGGGCAGTGGGCCACAGAAACGGCATGTGTCCCAGGAATTAGTCCAAAACCTGTAAATGAGTTAGTATTTTTGCACTCCTGGTTCCTTCTTCTAAAAGTCAATGTTTTTTGTTTTTTTAATGGGTCTTTGGCTAGATGCCTGAAATAAGGTCTGTGGTTAACACAAGCTTAAGGGAGTTTATATTTTGTTCTGCAACATAAAATACATCAGTAAATATGCCACTCGTGAATTCTGAAGCATTTGTATGCCATAAAATGGTAAACAAGTAGCTAAGTGACACTAAAGCACGTCACCACACCGAGCACAGCTTTAAAGTCTGTTGTGGTAGGGATGTTAAGATGTGTGACTGTGGTACCCAGCTGGCACACGACCGTTCTTCAACATTTAAATATGGTTGAAATTATGTCAGTTATTGTTTCAACATTAAAACAACAATGAAACCATGTTTAATTCTTATGGTTGGAAAAAGGTTAACACAATCCTCATAAATCAACACTGAAATTTCAGAAAGATGTTTTAAGGTTGAAACAATTTTAAAACAATGTTTAAAGTTTATGAAACAACATTGCAAAATTGATGCTGAATCATCTTTCAAAATCAAAACACAATTCAACAGTGATTCAACCATGTAGTTTGGTAACATTAGCTTTTTACTCCTGGCGATTACATTTAGGGTTCAAAAATAATGAAGGGGGTATTAATGTGTGAAGATTAGCTTGTTGAACAAATTGCATATCATAAATGTTTGTTTGCAGAGGAGCTTATTTTCTATGATTATCTAAAATCCAATGGAAAAATCCCACTGATTTTTCGGTGAGGGAACCAGGACGACACAAACTTCATGTTGGCCTAAATAAAAACTTAGGGCCCAGAAATTAGTGCTACGCCCCTGATCAAAGTTAGCTAACATTGGCTAATTAGCCTTCATGGCCCACTAGTCCAACCACGGGCTGTATTTTTGCCCAACTTGTAATAGTTAGAGGAATAATGTGTTATTTCTTTTAAAAGTTAGCGTTACATATGAGCTCTGACGTTAATAACCCTTGCAGTTGACCTAACGTTAAACTTAGCGGACATAATATATAGTCTGTATATAGTCTTATATAGTCAATGGAGTAACGTTGCGTTGCTAGGTTACATGATGAGTACCGTTGTTAGCTAACACTCACCCCAACGGCGACAGTTTTACGGCGATTTAAAGCCACCAAAACATGCGTAGTGACTTTTAAAATCCCGCCTGCAACGTAATACACTTGTCCTTTAGTACATTCACATGATTGGTTTGTTAAATACAAATTATAATAGCCATAATATGGCTAATATGCTAAAGCTTGGTGGCTGCTAAAGCGGTTAGCCGTTGACGTCTGTCGTCCAAAACCTCACGCGCACACATTCGCTTCCTAATGGCGCGCGCGCGCACACAGACAGTATATATATGTATATATATATATATATATATCTCCATACACACCAGATTTCCAGGCATAACAAAGCTGCATTTTATTCCATTGTTAAGGAGCAGAGAAGAAAACCCATGTCTTCATTTTATTACATAGTAACATATTTATCTTAACTGTTTACTTTCATCACATTGTAACATAATACATATTCATATTTCAAAAGTTGATCTCCATCTTATTAAATAGGAACAGAATAAATATTCACTTCTGAGCTCAGTGGCCACAACCCTCTCCAAGTCTTCACGGTGGACATAAGATGAACAGAAGCCTTCTGAGAACCAGGCTTGCTGAGACACTGGACCTTCCCTTCAGCACCCACGCAAACTCACATGCACACACAATTAAACCATACAAATGTAGCTCACTCTCACACACTCGTACATACTATACTGCATCACTCCTGCAGTGTTATTAGTGACATGTTAACTGCAGAGATGTAATAGCTCCTGTTTACTTCTGTTGTTGATGTACAAAGTGACCCTGGCGGCAACACACTGACTAGGTGGTTCAGCTAAATAATTCACCTGTGCTACACTAGAAATGCCATCAGTGCATGTAATGTAAAGACAAATTATAAAAAGCGTACAGGAATATCATATTACTAACACTGCTTCATTCAGGTGTTGCACTGGCACTGGAACTGAAATTAGACTGCAACCATTGCACTGTGACTGAAAATGGGAGTTTTGGAGCCAGAGCTGCAGCACATATTCCAAGCATCAACAATTTTCCAGCACCTGTCTCACGAAAGAAGGATTTTGGAGTTAGCTGGACGACTGTAAAAACTCTATAAAATCTATTTTTATTCTTCCATTCCTTGCTCCAGGTTTTTGCTCGGCAGGTGTATCAAGCTAACTACTCAATGTAACTTCATGACGCAGGTGACAAAGTGTCTGTCAGGTATAGAACAGCAACAGGAACCGAGAGGCAACATTGATTTCAGGGTAAACAAGATTGATTTTAAGTGGAGATGATAATCAGGCATTACAATGTAAACAATGAACAGCAAAACAAACAATACTGTCTTTTCTCTCCGTATTGCACAACTCAGACTAAATTACATCTCTGAATTCCTGATTATCACATGCCTTCTGCATTTCATTTGAATTGTGCTGCTTCTATGGGTAATGTTAATGATTTTAAAGTGGCTGATTTTAGTAGGTGACTTTTATGGGTGAATTCTGTATTGCATTAGATGGAACATGTATGGAAACGGCTTAAAAAAATACTACTAGACATACAGAATAAAACTTATTTCAAAATTAAATACATAGCTCATACACATCCCAATAAATCATACATTTCATAGTCAACTGTAAAGGGACACTTTAAAATGGATGCCAAAGCTTTAAAATAGTGAATGTTTAAAAAAAAAAAAAAAAAAGGTTTCCTGCTTTTGTTTTAAACAGATGGCATGTGAGGAAAGGCTTGCTTCAAAACTCTTAAATACAAGCAGTGTCGAGTTATTTACAGCTTATACTGAATAAATCAGGTCTAGAAGTGATTTGTGTAGTCCAGTTGTGACAAAGAGACGTCACATGTATCAGACATTTAAGAGTTATAGTGAGACTAGTCAGCAGCAGCTACAGGAGCTCCTTAAGCATTAATGCCATCCATTGACATGGGCCTCTTAAGCTTTGTGACAGAGACCAGTGAAACAGGTCATAGGAAGAAAAAAATAAAACAATACATTGCTGAAAACAAAGTCTAAAAAAATAAAATTTTGTTAATTCTCTGCATTTATAGTTTCTTTTTTCTGCACTTTTGGTTCAACCTTCTTCAGCTTCAACACAATGGATATTTTTCAAACAAATTAAACCATGAAAGCGCTATGTACATGCAAAGCCCACTTGGGTCTGCTCAGTTCAGCCAGCCAGGAACTTGATAGTTGTGTTTGTGAGCAAATAGGTCAGTCATGATGCACAGCGAGTATGGGCTGCCTGCAGATGGGGCAGGTGTTGTTTTCAGAGAGCCAGCGGTCAATGCAGTGGATGTGAAATTCATGGGCGCAGGGCAGGCGGCGCAGCTTGTTGCCCTGGGCATACTCATTGATGCAAACACTGCACGCACGACCCATCTCCCCCTCCAGGTTGGCCTGACCATATGTACGCGTGGATAGATTGTCAATCTGCTCTTTGGTCAGGCCCCTAGGGTGTTCGTCATCCTCCTCGTCGTTGAGCAAGAAGAAGTGTGCCAGCCGCAGGATGGGTAGAGTACCATTTTCTACCAGGTTGTTGGTGTCTCTGCTGGTGGCTCGTCCCTCTGTGGTGCTCACTACACCTCCTCCGAGCCTGGCCTGCCCAACCTGGTCTTCCTCACTTCCCACCAGCCCCACCCTCTCCTGATCTACCCCACCTGTACCAACCTGGCCAGCTTCACTCTCATTTGTATGTAGACGACTGGCTGGGCTGGTGCTACTATTTGTAACACTTGCATCTGTGTGGCTAGGTGCAACAGTTTCAGAATCAGCCTCTGTCTCCATTAAGGAGCTCAGCTCCCCAAATCCAGTCATGATCTGGCGCAAGATGGACCGCAGGGCGGTGGAGTTGGGCTCCCCCAGGCCTGTCTCACTGATGCGCCTCAGTGGAATCCGAATGGTGCTCACATAGGTACGAATCCCAGCTCGCTCAGAGCGGGAGATGGTGCGTCTAAATCCACCACTGTCACTTTCAAATGTGACAGTATTCTCAGCAACACGGGCACGAGAACGCGTTCTACTGGCGATGCTGTCCCGATCGCGGTTTTCACCAGGTCGAATCCTTCTAACCTGCAGGTCCAACATGATGGTTGGGTGCCGTCGCACCGCTGAACTTCCTGCTCCTACTACATGCGATTCACTTTCGCGTTCTATTGTCTCTACAACAGGCTCTGTTAGAGCCACAGGTTCTGCCACAGCCTCCCCGGTCTCCATGGAAACAGAGCTTGTGCCACTACCTGGCTCAACAGTGTGGATGCTAGAGCCACTGACACCAATGCTTGATGATGAAGTGGTACTGGCAACAGGTATTCTGTGCAAGGGGGAACGGCTGCGCCTTGACAACCGGGATGACACCCCACCCCCTGCTGCAGCCCTGCGTGCACGACCACGTGATCGAGTCCTACTGCCACGGGATTCGTGTCCCACTGCTGGGGCCTGAGACCCAGACTGCGGTGACACACGGGGACAGTCTATAGAAGGAGATATATCATCACTGCCCTGCTCTACTTCTGCATTCAGGGCTTGATGTTGCAAAGGTGTCGTTTGATCGAGAGGAGGGTTGGGGACAGTGGGAGGTGGTGCTAAAGAGTGCAAAGTAGCACTTCTCCTCTGAGCAGCAGCTGGGGCGGCCACTGGTGCAGGAAGTGCAGGGGGGCTCATAGAAAGAGTGGTAGTGCTGCTGCGTGTACGCCGAGTCTGCATCCTCCTACTGAGGGCTGGGCGGGGGGTGGGGTACGGGACGGGCCTTGGCGTGGTTGAAGGGCGAGGGTTGGAGAACGAGGAAGCAGTGCGTATAGAGGGTGAAGTTGTGTTCGGGGCAGTCACTGGCAGCTCTGCAGTGTCCGCAGCATCATTATGCTCCCCCGGCTCCGGCTGATCATGGTTAATGTTGATCTCCAGGCTAAAGCGGAATTCTCCACTGTTGGGGTTGGTCCGGCTGACAGCACGCCATGTTTGGTTGCCACTCTGCCCACTGCGAGTAGCATTACCAGTGCGTCTGAAAGTGTTAAGCCACTCCAGTAATGAGTCACCATTAGAAGTTTCTGCTCCAGGCTCTGTGCCCCCTGTACAAAAAGAATAAATATGGGTAAGACTGTAAACTAACATGCATCATCCATAATCTCATCTCTTGCACAAGCAAGGCCTGATGAAAAGATTGCAGTTTCCTGGTTTCCACTTACAACAATGACAGTTTTAGCCAATCTGTTTCATACCTTAGTTAAATCCCGCACTTTCACTGTATTCCCTGCCCAGTTAAATCAGACTCAAAGTTGAACAAACTGATGCAACCAAAGCTTACACCAACCTACAATATAAGATTCATCAATATTTGTCCAAGTAATGTATGAAGAATGTTTCAGGAGCACTCAGTTTTATTTATTTATAATGATCCAGTATCACAGAATATATGATGAAAGCTGCAATTTGTTTGTCAAGTGTTTTACTGTTTTCAAAATGCAGTCCTACTACCTCCGCAAAGGACATCATGTCTTTGGTCTTGTTTGTCTGTTTGTCAACAGATTACAGAAAAATTATTATTTTAATGAAACTCTGTGAAATGGTGTGCCATGGGTCAAGGAAGAACCTATTAAGTTTTGGAGTGGATCCAAATCAGAAGGCAGATACACAAGTTCTTTTTCCATTTTCATTAACATTAAGACATTAGGCATTTGGCCTTGGCAGAAAAAAATGCTTTGCATCTTTAAATCCAGCAGATTGCAATAAAGTCCAATACTGACAAATCATAGCCAATTGTAAAAGCACAATGATTCCATATCACAATCCACATTCACGGTAGGGCCGCATCATTTGAGGAAAATATGCAATAACGTTGATGAATTTAAGTGGTGATAAACAGATATTAAAAGGGTACTCACTACCCGACTCAGCCTTGCACAGTACCTGTGCTTGTACCACATCTTCTCTCCTGTACCCAAAACACTGCCAGACAGTTGACATGCTATATTTCTTAGTCACCTCTCTGGCATTCGCACTTTCATCCGCACTCATCATGTTACACTTTCCTCCCTCAACGGTGGGGAGTAGTACGGCAGCACTGGTCTCATAAACCTCACTGGCATGCGTGGAGATTCTGACCTAACAGACATTGCTTAACGACAAGAGCTCAGTCTGACAGGCCAGACAGTTAACAGCATGACGCACAAAAAAAAAAAAAAAAAGGGGGAAAATAGGCCTACAAACAGAATTTAGCACGTTGTTACTGACAGTGCAATATCGCAGTTTTTTGTGATGTGTTAACAACAAATTAACATTGCAATGACAATAGAAGAAGAATATATTTTTCAGCTGTAATTCACAGGTGCCAGTAATCCTCTCAGATTGCCTGCATGTGTAGGTGCTCATACTTCATACAGAAAGCAATCATTACGGAGCACTCACTGACGGTGGTTTCACCATCACAACTGCAACAATGCTATATTCTATAGGCTAAGAAACAAAAATACACACGTCATCCAACTGATGTATTTACACATCATGGTTGAACTTGCAGATTTGCATGTCATAGAAGATTGGACTACTGGCATTGGCTAATATGCTGTATTATATTGTGCTGTATGTATGTTGTTGTTGTTCTTTTTTTTAGCATTTTTGTTGATCAATAGTGACTTAACACGACCCATATCACATTAACACTAGCTATCTGAAAGATCATACAGAGACAAGACCCTCCCCTTTCTCCCTACCTGCTCCTCGTCTCCCTCCAGCCCCTCTCTCCTCTCCCTCACTGCTACTGCCCTGCTGTTCTCCAGAATCAGCAGTCTGCAAGCGCTGCTCAGTACGGGGCTGAGATGACATGCGCTCTTTCGCTCCATCAAGACGCTGCCGAAGCTCCTCAGCTGTCACCTCCCCTGTGAAACATTGAACACGCAGGCTGTTATGTGCCATCAGTTACTATAGTGAGAACAGACTATTGCCATCATGCATCGTAAATATTGTATACTATGTTAATTTCATACGCTTGGATTACATGTGAAGTAAGGCCACACTGATGATTCAAATCAGTGTGTTAATATCACAAGATGTATTCCTCCTCACCAGGGGTGCCAAGCAGGTTGCCGTCTCTCATTAGGCGGTACTCCTCTTCACTCAATTCATTAATGAAGTGATAGTATGCCTCCTCCCGACGAAGACGCTCTGCCTGCCTCCGCCGTTCGTCTCCCCCACCAGGAGGGTCCATCACCGTTAAAAGTGCTGGCAGACAGATGAGTGAGGGTTGTCAGTCAGGGGTGGAAAGTCAGCTTTACATTTAGTATCTGTAAAATAAGTGCTGCAGCCACACATTGAGCCATTGAGCCACAATTCAAATAGACATGCTTATATGTGATTAAAATATGTTGTTCAAGCAAACAGCTATCTGACTCTCTTTTGGGAGGATAAAGAATGAACGTTTTTCTTAGCTGTATATAATTTCCTGGTTTGTATATGACACTAGAGTAAAAATGCGTTACAAATTAGAGCTGTTCAATTAACATAGCCTTACAATGAGTAATCTCAAGGCAAGGACGACAGTTAAGACAACGCCATCCATTTTCTTTCTAAGACTCCACCAGCAAGACACAGGGTAAGGCTACAGTAATCTTGCTAACGTTTAGCCCTGAGTAGCGCAGTTAAGTATCGGCATGAGAAATTCTACTTCATCTATCTTTATCTATTTAAGCATGTACATCAATGCTCAATTCATTCACTGTAAGAAACTGCCACAAAAACACCCTAATAACAACGTAATCTTGATGTGAGCTAATGTTAGCCAAGTTAAACAGCAGCTACGGAAGGCCATGTTGAAGGCAGGGGAATAAAGCAACAAAACTGGCGTTGTCATCCTGGTTAGCCACCAATCACCGGCCTAGTTTTAATGACGGACACGCCAAGCGTCCAATCACAACTCTGCAAAGGCGGGCCACGATGAACTAAACGGAGGTCTCCTCCATGTAAACGCAGGGCAAAGAAGGAAAGACAAAGAATCTTGTCAGCTTTATGACAGAATAAGATTATCGCGATATAAATGCCAGGCTACGATTGACAGCGTTTCCGCCCAAACACGACAGTCCGTTTCATGGACCTTTCAAGGATGCCAAGTGTCATTAGGAATGCGCAACGGTTTAGTTGCTAACCGAGCACTAGCAAATTAGCACATCTATCGTTAGCGGATAGCAGTCCGTCGACACTGCTGTTAGCTGGTTAGCCGAGTCGCCAGCGAGCTGTGAGCCTGAATAACTCTTCAGATACACATGAGACAAACTGCTTTGTGGAGCTGTTAACGTATACGGCACCTAACACACAACCTTAGCATAGTTTTATAAGAGATGACAATGACATTAAAAGGAATTTACTACCTGACAAAGCAGCGGTAATATGGACGGTTTGCTCTGCTCTCCCTTCTCTCTCAAACCAAGATGGGACCAGTGGTGCCACAGTACACCGTCCGTCAGAAACAACCTCCCTGTCTGCATTAGTTCCTAGGCAACACAACAACGCAAACAGTGGTTGCTGTCGAAAAAATAGGTACACTGAGTGCAACAAAAATACTCTAGTAATTAATTTGTGAAACTATAATACAAACGGTGCAATTTTAATTTACTGTAGTTTTAAAGATATGATGCTGCTACATGTGGAGTATACCACCTATAACATAAATATATCTTTGTGTAAATTTGTAAGTAATTGAGATAATCTTAAAACAGTTTTCCAAATAAATCATTTAAACTTTTATTTCATTTTTATTTCACATTTTGAGCGCATGAAATTTGCTTTTAATGCAATATTTTTCACAATAGTGCTACTATTTTTATGTTTTAGTAAAGAAATGAGTGCCTAAACACCCACACCAATGAGCTCATGTCCTGAAACAGCCTTTCCAGTGACTTCAAATATAAAGTAGTGAAATGAAAGCAGATGATTAGAAAATCTGACACACAATATAAGGTGACATTATAATATATCCCTGCATTAAGAGCATCGCCATATGTATCAATACATTTATTTTCTGCACTTTTCTTTCCACCATTACAATTGGCTATTTGTGATTGCACTGTAACTATTTATTTCTATCTTATCCTATTTAATTTTTTTCGCTTTTTCTAATTTATATTTGTGTCTTAATGAGTTTTGAATGTTGTTAATGCATTTCTTTACCGTATTAAACACTTTTAATAGCCTCTGTGCTTGAAAGGTGCAAATAAACTTGCATTTTCTAATAAGTATACCCAATAAGTACCATACTTTGAGAATAAATGTAATGTTTTTCGCTTTAATTCAAAGCCAGTGGATTGATATCTTCTGTTATACTGAGGAAACAGATCTCAAATGCGCCTGTATTATTACTTAAATATGGCACAATCTGGCAACATACATATGCATTTCCTCAACATACGATTATTGTGAAGGTATAAACTTACACATCATGTCTAATTATTACGGGTATGAATTTCCACGTGGTGTAGTCTGTCTACCCATTTTCTTGAGCCCTTTCTCTGCTCTGCAGGGCTGTCTTCACGACGTTTTACGACAGTGCCGTGCGCGAGTACGCCGTCGTTACCGAGTGAAGTGCGTCTCTTTGGAGCAGATACCGGCTGAGAGAAACGCAGCAACAAGAGAAAGGAATACATTTCGGGCTCGTTTTCCACCTGGACTACCACCGAGCACGGCGCATCCCCTCCGGTACGAACAATTCAACCCGAAAACTCGATGTGGAAGCTGGGCTGAGGGAAGAAAGGGCCACGCTGGGGACGGCAACTAGCTGAATTACCAAACCGAGCTCGTTGGAGTAGCCTAGTTGCCTCCCAAGCGACGCTTTAAAAAAGGAAGGAGCGGACACATTTGGCCCGAACAGAGGTGAAAATGGACTATGATTTTAAGGTGAAGCTGACCGGCGAAAGAGAGCGTGTCGAGGACCTGTTTGAGTACGAAGGATGCAAAGTGGGAAGAGGCACCTACGGTCATGTATACAAGGCGAAGAGAAAAGATGGGTGAGTTGATGACCAGCAAGGCCTCTAGCCAGTGAACCCATCGCCTGCCCCCCTCCTCCCTCTCCCAAATACATTTTAATCACTTCTCTCATGTTTTTCCTCTCCGTAAGGCTGCTGTGCAACTGGCACATCAGACATGTTGGAGATTTATGCAGAGAAATAAGCAGTAAATGCATTGTAATTGCCTGCACAGTGAGGATGCTGGTGGAGCTTTCTGTCATGCACACTGACAGGATTTACTACTGTGACTGTGTGAGGTGTCTGTTAAAAGGCATCCATTTTGTCCAGTTGTCAGGGCATTAATTTATTTAGTAACATTAAGAGCATTTGCAGGTGAAGTGGTGAATATAGGATACAGCAGGTGCATGTGCAGGCACTTGTTAATGCTGACACTGGCCCTTTTGTAAAGGGGGCAGGTTGCTTTTGTCATACTCAAGGTAAATACCTCTGCATAACTTATATTAATTTTGCCATCACATTGTTTGCCACAAATGTTTAATATATTGAAGAATCTGACACGAGAGCTGATATTTTCGGCTACTTAAGCAGAATTTAGTTGTTTATGTGCTCTGTTATCTTGCATGCCTCCATTTGGGGTCATGTTTGTGCTGTTCTTGTCCGTATTGCTTTCGACCTCAGCCCACCTTAATTTCCTTATTTGAGTATTTTTTGGCTATTTTTGCCTGTTAGTCAATAGTGGAAAGATTCCATGAAATAAAGAGAGGGAATGACATGCAACAAAGTTCCCGAGCTGGACCCAAACTTCATGGACACCACGACACCACCCACCTTCATTTCTAACCCTTTTATTTATTCCCCTTCTCCCTTGTGTTTCTAATGTAATCCATGAAACCGACTTAAGTGTGTCTGACCGGAGCTGGCTGAAGGCAGCTCGAGCTACCAGGACCATACTAAGCCCATTATCACAGCCCGGACATACTGACAGCCGGAACCACACAAAAGAGCCCTAAAGTGTTTAAAGATGTTTGTGTTCACTTTAGGAGGCTGCTGTTTATGAGAGTCTGCGAGCTAATTTGTGCTGCAGCAGTTGGACGAGGCCTGAGGAGGCACAAAGCATGGGTTTATGAGATGATTTAGGCCAGGGGGAGGGAGGGAGGGGTTATAACCAATTCATTCAAGTGCGAGCCAGTCCCAGTGCTCTGTTTGTCCCTCGCCAGCTGCCAGACAGGGCCTGTTTCCTCTCCCCCTCTATTGTTTTGAGCCTCAGAGGTGAGCTTGATTACACAAATCTGGAGGTAATGCAACTCGGCCTCTTCTCAGAGTCTCTGTGCCAGCTGCCAAGTGCCCCCCCTTTATGTTTCTGTGCAGACAGCTCTCAGGGGGCCCCGCAGTCTGGTCTGGTGTTGATGTTGCTCTGCCTTTCTCTTTGTAGGAAGGATGATAAGGACTACGCCCTCAAGCAGATTGAAGGCACTGGCATCTCCATGTCAGCCTGCAGAGAGATTGCAGTAAGAACTGCCTGGCTTACTTTGTCCCTTTGTTTGGTCTGTGTGCAACACCCTCATGCCATTCCTAGGTGGCTTATGTAATGCCCGAATCACCTTCATGGAGTAAAATACGAGCTAGAAGAAGAAAAAAAACACTCATGTGGACACATTAATACAAACTATACCTTCAAAATCAACACCCCAAACATCATATGCATCAAGTCATTTTTACTGTGTTGCATTCAGTTGCACAAGTGATATTGTGCCCTCATCAACACAGAGATGTCTCCACTTTTAGCAGCTAACAGCAGCATTAACTCTTACAAATTAGCCATTTGTCATCCGTGATTTCTGCCATGAGTGTGTGTGGTCGCTCCTCTGAGTGGGTTTGTGTATTGCAGCTGCTGCGGGAGCTGAAGCACCCCAATGTCATCTCGCTGCAGAAGGTTTTCCTGTCACATGCAGACCGTAAAGTTTGGCTGCTCTTCGACTACGCCGAACATGATCTCTGGGTAAAATGCACGCACACGACATACACTGGAGCAGCATGGCATGACTTTAATATTGTCCATTGGATATGTTAATATGAGGGGGAATGCACGTGGAGAGTTTCTGTGTAATTCATTTATGATTATTTTGTTATTAGTTTACACTGACACACGTGCACATACTGCAGATTCCCACCCGTTTATGTGAGTTTATGCAGCTTACATATTTATATGCCTTATGCTTTTACAAATGCAGAATTACTCATAGTACTGATGCATATATACTCACACTCACTATCAGCCAGTTGTAGGAAAGGAAACTCAAACCGGTGCTGATTATGCACTGCTAACTCTCAATAAAACACACAAGCACCAAGAAGTATTCGACATTTGGTAGTCAAACCTCTGCTGCATTACACTTGGCAGCATATCCAAGCTGAGTTAAAATGCCATTTTCTGCCACAAAGCTGCAGCAGTCACATTCCCCTCCCGAGGAAGTGGAAACACATGCCACAAACATCAGTTTCACTGATCTAGCATACAGTTACATTTGTGACCTTACAAATGTGGAAAAGCACACCAAACGATGTATTTCAGTCATCACGTTCGCACACACACCACAATTACTATTATCTTGTCTTTCCGTAGCACATTATTAAGTTCCACAGAGCGTCCAAGGCCAACAAGAAGCCACTTCAGCTGCCGAGAGGAATGGTCAAGTCTCTGCTCTACCAGATCCTGGATGGCATCCATTACCTCCACGCCAACTGGGTCCTCCACAGAGACCTTGTAAGAGGATTGGGGAGGGCAGAGAGGGGAGGGGAGGAGGGGGAGAGAGAAAATATTTTGGTAGAAGGGAAAACAAGGCAGCAGTTGATGAGAGATTGCAAGATTGTTACTGGACAGAGAATCAGTGAAAGGCATATGAAGCTGTGTCAGTCTGCATGTGTTTAGTTATTGCTCCTAAATACTTAATGTTGCAGAATGATGATTTGATAACAGGTTTATGTCAACCAAGACTAGTGTGCATTTTTCATAATATACAACTTCTCTGCAGTATTCTTTAGTTGTTTAAGTTGAGGGTTGGTGCATAAAATGATTGTAATTTCAGGTAGTTGCGGTTACTATGTTCTGAGGGAAACTAACAGGCTTTGTTTTTTAGTCTTGTATTTGTTTCTGTTTAATAAGAATTTATTAATACTCTGAATTTAGTCTCAGCTGTTAACAGATTTTACCTGTTTGGTTGAATTGAAAAATTATCTACCGTTTAAATGCATAGTGAGATGGAAATGGTAGCCCTCTCCTGTGGGATGCAGTGTGTGTGTATTGTGTCCACTAGAGGGCAGCAACATAGAGTTTTCATTACACACCACATGCTGGCTCACATAGAGACGCTGCAGGTATTTGAAAGTCTGAAAAAGCATTGAAGTCAGTGTCCTTAAAAGAAATTATCTTGGCTGCTCCAGGCAGTGATGTTAGTTATTAGTTTGAAGAAAGATATTTACACGTCCAAATGTCTCAAATGAAGGTGCGTTGGGAAATATC